TTTTTTTGTCATATTTGTAACTGCCCTCAAATTAAAATATAAAATCCATCCTTTGATCTCTAAAATCTAAAAATTAGATATTATTCTAATAAAGTTTATAATAAATTAAGGATGGATTTTATTATCTAGCAAAGAAAAAAAAAGACTACCGAATATAACAAAATTTTAAAAATAAATTACAACAAATGTTGAAAAATTAAAGTTAAAAGAGTCTAAATTTAAAAACTAAAGTAAAAGCAAGTCCTATTATAATTTGAAGTAAAAGAAAAACTAAAATAAAATAATTTAATCTTTAATTAACAACCATGAAAAAAGAAGGAAGAAATTGAGTTGGAAGAGAGAGAAAACCTCCACCCGTCAAAGTTAAGAATGAAAGAAGCAAAGTGAAGATATCTAAATTTTTTAAATAATAATAATAAAAATAAATAACCAAATATAATAGTAATTAATAAGAGAGAGAAGATTGTAGAATACAAGAAATTATTTTTACTTCGAAATATGTAGACTCTACTTAAAATATGTGACACGCTTTAAATGAAGGAGATATGGAAAATTTCTATATTTTGACAGCACTAAAATTTTTTCTATAATTTTTTTAATATTACAGAATATTTACTTTATTTAAGATGGGTGCATTTTGCAATATTTTTTTWAAAAAATACTGATRGAGACAAGGTTTTGAATATCGATGCGGATGGAAATGTCGATGTCTCAATTTCATAGAAATATTGATAAAAATGTTAATATATTGTCGATGTCGATGAATATTTCTATGAAAGTTAGAGAAATAAAAAATAGTAAAAAATACTTAAATTAACAAATAAATATTTTTCTATGTCTAAATAAGATAGAAAATGATTAATATTAATATCATGTATATACTAGTAACATTTTGTTGATATTTTTCATATTTATCCATTGTGTCGATATCGAATTCATATGTGGACGAACATATTAAGGGAKGATTAATATGACACCCTTGAAATTTTTGTTAGAGAAAGATRTAAATGGGAAAAAAAGAGAAGGTGGGAATAGCCAAATGGGTGGGAGTTTTTTTGGTTGTTGGCCAGCTCACAATACAACCTGATTTTCTTCCAAATTTTAATTGATTTTGTTAAGATGTGTAAGATCACTCCACAAACAGTTAAAACAATGCATTTCCCGTTCCAAATCTTTCCTTTTGTTTTCTTCTTCCTTCCCAGCTCTTTCGACTTCCAAGCCCCTAAAATGGCTTCCATTACATTTCYCTCCCATTCCCATTCCCCCTTTTGATTTCTTCTCTGTCTCCACTCTGTGGGTCTGTTTCCTCTTTCGATTTCTCGTCTCTGTGAAGGATCTTTTGGGATTTCACCCACTACCCACCTCGGGAAACTGAGTTCTATCGCCATGGAACCAGACGAAATCGCCGCCAGGCAGTCGTTCAAGAACTTGACCACCATTTGCATATCTTCCGGTCGAAGTCGCTCGCACGGGGTCTACCTTGGATCAAACCCTTTGGATTACTCCGTCCCTCTTCTTCTAATGCAGTTGGTTATGAGCGGCGGCGCCATTATGTTGTCTTCTCAGCTCCTCAAGCCCCTTGGCCAACCCCTCATCGTCTCTCAAATCTTGGTAACTCTCTCTCTGTTAATTGCTTGAATCGATTCCATTGTTCCTGTTATGTTTCTTATTGATTGTGATTTTATCAGGGCGGCTTAGTTCTAGGTTCTTCGGTTCTGGGCCAGTTCGAGGGAATCAGAGAAACCCTTTTCCCCATGAACGGATTCGTATTCCTTGATATAGTAGCTTCATTTGGATATTTGTTTAACTTCTTCCTCATTGGGGTGCAAATAGATACTTCGATATTGAAGAAGATTGACAAGAGGGCATTTGCAATTGGGTCCTGTACTGTGGCTTTGCCTTTGGTTCTGACCACTATTTTCATTATAAACTTCATGAATATGGTGGACCCCAAAATCGCCAAGTCGTTTCCCATGGTTGCTGCAACAGAGTCCTTTGTCAGCTTTCCCACGGTTGCTTGCTTTCTCTCCGAGCTTCATAGATTGAACTCTGAGTTTGGGAGGATTGCTTTGTCATCTTCCATGGTTTGTGCTTTGTGCAGCTTTTGTGTTATGATACTAGGAGCTCTGTTGAATGCACAAAATGTTGGCAGATATGAGGCCTTATCAATGGTTTTTACCTATGTACTTTTCATAGCCATCATTGTTGTTGCAGTTCGACCTGCCATTCTGTGGATGATGAAGCAGAATCCAATTGGACAGCCGTTAAAGGAGGGCTATGTGATTACCTTGCTTGTAGGGGTGTTGTTGACTGGCTTTTGTTGCCAAGCCACTGGTATGCATTTATATTTTGGTCCCATTGCACTTGGGATTGCAACACCTCCAGGGCCTCCCATGGGATCAGCATTGGTAGAGAGGCTTCATTTCATCACCTCTTGGGTTTTCATGCCAATATTCTTTGTGAAAATAGGTTCTGTTATCAATGTTTTTATCATCAAACTCAGAAGTTTCTTAGTAGTGTCATTCATTGTCTTTGTTGCTGCACTGGGGAAGTTTTTGGCTGCCTTTATGGTTTCAATCTACTTCAAACTACCCGTGAGAGATGCCGTGTCGCTTGGCCTCATATTGAATTGTCAAGGAGCTTTAGAGCTTGGTTTGTTTGAGGCAAAGAACAAGGACAAGGTAGGAATAAGAATGCATTGTTGAACAACATCATATCATCTAATTGAATTTGTTCATTTCTCACAATACTCAATGGTGATATTTCATTTCCTAAATCTGTGCAGATGTTAGACAACGAAACATTTTCAGTTATGTGTATATGCATGGTGATTTCGGTCCTAGTTATCACTCCTATAATAAGATATCTCTATGATCCTTCAAAAAAATATCTAGTTTACAAGAGAAGAACAATGATGCACTCAAGACCGGAATCTGATCTCCATTTAATAGTTTGCATCTATGACCAAGACGATGTTCCAAATGCCATTAACCTGCTTGAGGCCTTGAATCCGACGAGACGAAGCCATCTTGTTGTCCACATGATTCATCTTGTTGAGCTTATTGGCTCAGCTAACCCACAACTCATTTCCCACAAGCTTATGAATGTACGTCCTTCAAGGTCCTGTCCTTCTGAACAAATCGTTAATGCCTTCAAATACTTTGGACAGAGCAACCGTGACATTGTTTCAATTTATCCCTTCACTGCTATATCTCCTTTTGAGACTATGCACGACGATGTTTGTACGCTTGCACTAGACAAAAGTACTTCCTTGGTTCTTGTTCCTTTCCACAAGAGATTTTATTCCAATGGCATTACATCGTTGTGCAAAAATAAGATGAAGACAGTTAACAATCACATCCTTGACAATGCACCCTGTTCTATTGCACTTGTTGTTGACCGTGGACTCTTGAAAGTCTCAAAGTCTATCACAACCAACTTGCATTCTTTTCACGTAGCTGTGGTCTTCATAGGAGGACCGGACGATCGTGAGGCAATGTTCATCGGGGCAAGAATGGCTGGACACCCCAATATCAACTTGACAATGATCAGAATATTGGAGAATAGGAACGTCTCGAGCGATAACGTAGAGGAGAGGAGGCTCGATGATGATGCAGTGAGAATGTTCCGACAAATTATAATAGGCAACGACTACAAAGCGATGTACAGAGAAGAGGTGGTGACGGATGGCACTGGAACGGTTTCCATACTTCGGTCGATGGAGAACAATTTCGACCTCGTAATGGTAGGAAGACGTCATTGCCTGAGTTCACCATTGGTTCAAGGGTTGGTGTTTTGGAATGAGGATACAGAACTTGGGGCAATTGGAGAGGTATTGGCCTCCTCGGACTTCATGGACAATGCCTTAATCTTGGTTGTTCAACAACACACAAAAGCAATGAATGAAGACCAAGAGATTCACATGGAAACTGTCATTCCCATGGAAAGGCATTTAGTAGAGGATGGTGCAGAAGTGATTTCCATCAATAGCAAATCATTCCAAAGTTGTGATTCTTCTCCATTTTACTAACTCCAATGATTCAAAGTTGGAGAGGTCATTTTTGCTCTCTCTCTATTTTTTTTTCTTTAAGCTTCAACAATGTACATTCTCCACTCAAACCATATCCATCATTGAACCAAACAACACCACCATCTAGTTAGTCAATTTAGCTTCCAATTTTTCATTTGGTTATTTATTTGTCATACCATGATGTAAAAGTTATGATGATATTGTGTGATCAAATTATGGTAAATTTTTATATGGCGTCGTTGGAATTTTCAATAATATAGACTACACACATGTAATTATTTAATGTGTTTTTGCTATTTAAATTAAACCAAATGAAGTGATTCAATTACTGTAATTGTCTAGATACCACAAAAATAGTTTCCAGGTTGATGAGGGGCCAAATTGAAAATATTTTAAACTTTGTAACCGACCAGTAGTTATTTTGTCGTTACCAGAGACATAAAAGTGGAAAAACGCCTTCTTTTTCTTACGGTTGAAATCTATCAGACGAATTCGTGATTCTCTAGACTTGGAAAATCGAACCCACCACTCAACAACTTCAATTGTGGATTAAGGTACGCTTCCACTTCTTTGACATCAATTCTCTTGAATTGAAATGGGAACTCGATCCGTAGCTTTTAAGTTTTGGGTTTTAATTTTCCCAAACAATATCACATTAGCTAAATAGAAATATAGTGATCACTCATCAATGACAAAAAAATTTAATGAAGTGAAAATTTGGAGAGATGAAGCTTAATTATATCATATTAAAAATTTACTAAGTTATTCAAAATGATCTCTAGAAATTTAATATGAACTCTGTAATTTTTCCATTGAAACAAGAGAGTGACATGGGTTATCTATACTATATTAAAGTAGAATGAGACTGACTAAATGAGATTTTGAATGAGACATATGCAGGAGAACATAATTGATGGAAAGTGTCAAGCCTCTACCGTTTGTTAGAAGACGAGTATAGGTCTTTTTTTTCCAATTTTCTTAACTGGTTTTGATTTTCTAATGATCAAATCTTCTTAATATAGGAGGAGTTGTAATTCAGTAATGTTTCCATGATGAACGGTGGTAGAGATCAATAATRTTAATCTCTCAGGTATTWCCTTACATGAATTTTTTTTCAACAAAAAGAACATGAGCTTGTAATTAATCAATAGATTATTTCTTTCTAAACATAAATTCTAAATAAAAGAATACACTAATTATAAAAGAACAATRAAAGAAAAAAACAACGGCAACAAACAAACAAAAAAAAATCCAAACTCTAACTATACACTCAACTAAAATATATGATAGCATWCTTTCTCACCTACATTTCATGAGATTTATACTGAAACTATTTGTTAGTTTTTGTTTTTTCATGAAAAATTTAAATATATTTTGTAGGAATCAAAATGAGAGAAAAATCAGAATCAAAGTAATCAGAGATGGAATAACAACMAGATTTGAAGCCAAAAATCTGAGAAGATAGCGCCACGGCTCTGGCTTAGGGTGCTGCGGCGCTCCGAAGTTTAAATTTCACGTTTTGTGAATAGCGTAGTGCCATGGCCCCATGTGTAGCGTCATGGCGTTGCTGCGACAACTTTTTATAAAAATAGGGTTGTGCAGCCGCCGAGAGGAGGAGTACTGACCATAGATTAGTTGATTTTAGACTTGAAATCTTATGCTTGAGAGGGGTGGTTTAGAGTTAGAATTRGGATGCATGACTAAAGGGGTTTTAAGATCGGGAGATTTAGAATTCTTTTAGAGGTCGTTAGAAGACTTGCTYTGCGCTCGGGAGAGGGTAATTAAGTAGTTGGTTCATAGATTCAATAGGTRAAATTCTTAAGAATGAACAAACCACCACTCAACCAAAAGCTTAAGCTGATGAGTTGGGTAAATTTAATTCARTTATATGAATTCTAACATAAATTAATTTTGTAGGACGTTTCTCCCCATTGTTTTTATCTTTATTATTGCATGTTTATTTTCTTTGATTATATTCTAGCATTTAATTTTGATTCTCTAAATAAAATTGAGCGATTGTATCTGAGGTACGTGATCTAGAAACCCAATCCAGAGGACGATATCGGTATTGACTTACCACTTTATTAAAACTTGACCTGTACACTTGTAGTAAGCAATTTCTGCTACAATATACTCACTTGATAACGGCTTGACAATCACTATTATTCAATCTCATAAATTGTTAACGTCGCAAGCTTAGGATCTAAGATATAGATTTGGCACATGTGTTTCTTGCAACTCGACGAATATACCACGTATAGGATCTCGAGATGTTTTTTAGATTGAATAATCTTTGAAAACAATGTTTTTAGAGAACTAAGTTTTGTATAGAAAATAGTGAAAGAAAATCTATTTGTATAGTAGTAGAGGATAAAACGTTACATAACTTTTGGAATTCTAATATGAATTGTATTAAAGAGAATATTTTAATTTTATGTCGTAGAAAACCTTTTGCACTGTAGCATTTTTTTAGATCATATACATTTATTATTATTGATAATTAATAACTAAATTAATATTTATAAAAAATTATTAATGACATGGTTTGTAATTTATAAATTAAGAAAAGATAACAATGTCTAAAAATATTTTTTCAAGATCCTTCCATTTTAATATAGTATAGATTGAATACTTGTATTAGCGAAATGTAATATAAAAAAAATTATTTTCATGTTTTTGGGTTAAAAATAAAAAAAATTATTTATATGGATACCATAGATATATTTCTTATGTTCATAAAWTTTTTATCCAAATAGAAATTTCCAATATATATCTATATATTTATATACTATATCAAAAAGTAAGGATATTTTATTTTAATATCATATTTATCCTTTTTATTTTCGCATAATTACAAATATATTATTTTCATAKAGATCATCTTTTATCCCTCGAACTGAATTGTTTGTTAGTTTATAATCGACTAAYTAATACATTAAAAATAAATATGTTCAATAATTACAGTTGGAAATTTATCATTATTATTAAAATAAAACATATAACTCTTTTACGATTTTTATAAATACCATAGTTTTGAGAAGCAAATCAAATTTAAACCTTCAATATCCAATATGACTGGTAAGCTGCTTGCTCTTTTTTTATTTTTTTATTTTATGTGTGAGTGTCTTGCTCATGATTTGTTTTTTTAGAATTACAAATAATTAAGAATTTATTTTTTAATTCCTTATATTTAACTAAAAATAAACAAAAACCTAAGATTATTTGTAAGTTTGTAACTGACTAATTAATTAGCTTGACATTAGAAATCATTATATTAAATAATTACAGTTACAAATTTAGTCATATATATATATATATATTAAAGTTAAGATTTTACATTATTATACAAATACCACATATTTGCAAATCAAATATAAATCCTCTATATCCAATATCATTGGTAGGCCTATTGCAGGCACTTTTCCCTCTCTCTCTTTTTTCTTTTGCTTTCTAATTTCATATGAGAGTGCTTATATCATAGTTTTTTCTCTTTCTTTTGTGATACACGATTCACACTTCTCAACCAAAAAAAAAAAAACAAATTGATTTGGTGGCGAGGGAGACCGAACGAAGTGGTTTTGAACAATACAATGAGCAAGCAACAACTGATATGATGAATGAGTAGAGAGACAAATCAAGGAGAGGGGGATTAGTAGATATAGGAAGTTCAGTATAACTTAAATAATACAGAGAACATATAACATATGAATATTTTGACAAATGAACAAGATGATGAAACTCATATTAGAAGAAGGAGTGGGCGTTTCTCCACTATGGCAACAAAGAGAGGGTAAAGATAAAAATGAACTTTGAGAAGGAAAGAATACGGGCAATTGGAGTTCTGAAAACTTGAGTTACAATATTCACGAAAATGTTATGGAAAGTAACTATGACTTTATTTTTTACTTTTTTATTCTTTTAAGTTACTATTAGACTTACAGCCTCCTACTAAGAAAAAGTTACTGCCTATAAAATAAATAATTTTATATATATATCTATTCAATAATTAAAATAATAACAATATTATATCTGCTATCAACTTGATTTTGTATTTTAGTACTCTTAATAAAAATATATTAGAGTTTGTTTTTTAGACAATATTGAAAAATATATATTATTTGTTATTACAAATGAAAAAAATTAAAATCAGATTCAAAAGCCAAGAATGTATTAATCAAAATGTACATTTAGCTTATTTATAAAATAATTTAACATTTAAAAACCTATGATTTTAGTTCTAGATTTTTAAATTCCATGAAATTCGATTAAGTGATTAAATTAATTTACCTAACAAACTAATTTAAATTTGTTTAACAAAAATTACAAATTATTTTAAATTTATATATATAGAATAAGGGATTAGAAAATAGTAAAATAAATTATGGCTACAAAGAAGGTTGATAATGTTTTAACTAAATAAGTCGTATAATGATCCCATATTTAATTTAACTCATAAATTTAATCACTTTATGTTGTCCATAAAAAAAGTTAAATTCAAATTATCACATTTAGAAGGTAAGATATTTTATAATTAAAAAATATGTATGCATTGTACGTGGTAATACACTAGTAAATTGTAAATGGAGCAATGGTAGAAGTGAATTTTAAAAAAATAATGACAGACATGACAAATATTGATAATTATAAGACAATCATGATCTTTTTTTCTTTAAGAGGGGTGGCAGGTGGGAGATCGAACCATCTATCTTAGAGTTGGTAATATGTGTCTTATCCAGTTGATTTATATTCAGATTGATTTTTCTGAAACAACTAGACAATCACTTTTCAAGCTAAGACATGTTTAATGTTTATATTCCAACGTATCTCCCACATTAGCAAGTGTGTAAGGGTTATTGTTACTTAACATTCTTCGTTCATTTTTTCGAAGCTACGTTTATCACTACTCTGTTTACAACTCTGCAGTCGTATATGTTTGAATAACTAACTTTTATGGTAAAATTGTTTAGGGGCATATTTTTAACCAATTTTAAATGGTAAAGGGTTGAAGTGAACATTTTAAATGATATGGATATAATTAAAACTAACCTCATAAGAGTGTGTCTATTGGATCTCTAAAATTTCAAAAGAGAGCTCTAAGGTA